TGTCCATTTTACTGATCTATGAACTGGCTTTGTTACTTCTAACCACAAGATATAATTCTAATTTTACCATTTAATATATCGTAATTCTTAAAAGTGTGAATCTGATCTTCATACAAAACAAAATAGAAAACAATATTCAAAGTTAGTTGTGATCCACACATGACAACTCAAGTTCTTAGACAAAAATTTCTAAACTGAAGCACTTCAGAATTATTTAGACTATTCTGAGAGCTATAGGATTAAGTTTATTACTACTATCTTGTTGTAGGGAGGAAAGATCCCAGTGAGATGGACAGCCCCTGAGGCCATTGCCTTCAGAAAGTTTACATCAGCTAGTGATGTCTGGAGTTTTGGTATTGTCTGTTGGGAAGTGATGTCATATGGAGAACGACCATATTGGAATTGGCCTAACCAAGATGTTATCAAGAGTATTGAGAAAGGTTACAGACTCCCCCCACCTATGGTAACTATTTTAACATTAATCACAATATTGATCCCTGACTGGGAGGTTTAGAGACACTATATTTGTTAGTTTTTTAACCCAAACTGCTTCTTTTTGTAGTGTTACAAGTAAATTGTATTTTATAAACTTATATTAATTTGTAATATATACATACATATATGTAATTCCTTTTAAATTATTTAACAATAAAAATTAGTAAGAAATTGAAAGTTGCTGTCAATGGAATCTTTTTCTAAGGTAGAAAACAGTTTCATAACCCTTAAAAGAAAAAGTTTCAGAAGTTGGTAAATGAAATTGCTACTGCTGTTTCATAACAAACTGTTATTAAAAACCAAAAGACCAACTTAACCAATATTCTTATGATCTTTTTAAAGATCAACTTGATCAAGTAAAGCATGAATTACAATCAAACCTGATGCTATAACTTAACTTTCAGTATAAACTAGTAAATAGTAATCTGTTTTATTAGAGCCATCATATTGAACAACTTCAGTAAAACTGTCGACAGAGTTAGCGGAAATAAAGTGTACCTTTTATCTCTAATTTTTAAATATCTAAATTTACATTGATACTTAGAACAGTTTAAACTAATTTACAAATCATAATTTGTATCACTGATGTGTAGAAATTCACAAAACGTGAATGTTTGGTAAATTATTTTTTGTTTTTTAACAAGGTGTTGTTCAAATAAAATTTTTTTAATAGAGAAAAACAGTTTCTTATAATTGGTTATTGTTGCAAGTTTAGGTCAGCAAAACTATGAATCTTAACCAAACTTCATATATGCACTCACATAGACTTGACTGGCTCATAAGATAAAAATAATATTACACATATGCTGATTATGTATAAATGATTGTCTTTTATCCACTATAGCATACACATGAAATTTTTCATAAATAAAACTTCACAAAAAAAAACATATTTTCTTTGAAATAATATTACTATCTTTTTTTCAGATATATATGGTATAAAACGACAAAAGAATACTGTAAAACTGAAATTACCTCAGTGATAAAAACTCTCAGTACCTTTACACTTCCAAAAAATGAGAGCTGCCAAGTGTGCCACGAGTCTATAAAAACTTGGGTCATTTTCCTTGTCAGATTAAGAAATCTCCTTAAATGCATCTGAGTTAGAGGTGTTTTGCATGGGTGCATAAAGCAAGATTGGCTTCTGTTGTAATCTAAATCTTGATGGAATATTGGACTCAATTTTGAATGTCAAATTGGCATACGTAGAGAAATAGCAGCCATATTATATTTTCAAACCTTCCACTTCTTTCCTAAAGGTAACCAAACAAGTAATATAGGAGAACAATAAAAAGCACTTCACTTTTGAGGGGGATATCCTGGATTGTGATTTGGAAATACACATTTTTCTAAACCCTTTGAAAATTGTAAAATGCATATATTGCACAATACTCACATTTAAATTATTCCTTGTATCTTTTTTGGGGGTTTTAAAACAGAAAGTAAGATGGTTTGTTAGATTTCTGTGTGAGAGAGATTGTTTTAAATGTTTTCCAATGCACCTAATGGAATTTGAGAAGCATCCCAGATCCCTGGCTTCAGAGGAACAAACTCCAGAAATTCTGCCAACCTAACTTGGTCGTTCAGAAAAATTTATTTCAGAAACACCCATTAACAGAATATGTGTATTTTATTGTATGATTCCTTAATAGAGTAAAAGTAGTTAGAATTTTTTTTTGTTGGCTATGTAATAGAAAGCTTTACCACCTATGTGAAAATATAAACTTCACAGTGGATATTTCCCTGCTGATATATATGTTTTAAATGCTTTTGTTTTAACAGGATTGTCCAGAAGCTTTGTATCAGCTTATGCTAGACTGTTGGCAGAAAGATCGATCACATAGGCTGACTTTTGCAACAATTGTAAAGACCCTCGACAAACTGCTCAAGTGCCCTGAAAGCCTTCGGAAAATTGCACAAAACAGGTAAAATTTTGGAATATGAACATTAATCAAAATCTTAAATAACAGAATTTTGGGTATGCATTTTTAACTTTATTATTTTCAATATTCATTTTTATCAGTTTTTTTTTCAAGAAAAAGGATATCTCTAATGAAGGATTTTTTTTTTTTTTCTATCAGGTTCATTTAATCAGTAATGCACATTTTTGTTAAATTATCTTTTAATTTTTAAATGTAGGATGTAATCCATTTTTAGGTTATCTGTATGTTCAATAGCATATTTTATGAATCCTAGTCACATATGATAAATCACTAGAAAGGAAATTGAACTATTTATGTAATTTCTATGTGTAACCTTTCTGGTGATACATTTATGAACTCTTATGTTTAGATTTTGTAAACGGTAAGAAACTTTCCATATTTTGATGTAAGCTAGTGCATTATATCACCAGCAATTACTTTACAGAGCTGGTAGTGAAAAATATCTGTGTAGCAATCAGAGATCTGTTAGTTCAAGCATGATACATAGAAAAAGAGGTCTTACTGTGACATCATCAGGAGTGCAGTAAGACTGTTCCCAGTCTCATGGAATTTATCTATATACACTAAATTATTAAGTAAAACAAATGTTTTAATTGTATGTTGAGACTGGGAAATCTCATTTTTAAATATTTAGTGTGTACTATTAAACAGTGGTTTTTTTTCTTAGATACATCTGTCTTATTGAATCAGTTTTTTATACCATTTTACAAACAGCTAAATTTAGTTTGCAAGATATAGGATAGATGTCTGTGCAAAAAAGCTTTCTCTACAATGTGGATTTTTATGTTTCGTGTCAGTGTACTCACATGTTCATTACAATAAATGTGTTTATTCCAGAAGATTAGGTATAAGTGTTGTGGCTGGCACATAAACATTTCTTGGTTGTTAGTACAATGTCTCATGGGTTTCTATGATGTAAACACTTTGATTTTTGTACTACAATTGTTAATATGTTTTTAACTAGACAAAATCCACTGGACCCCAATGCTCCTGATATGACTCAATATAAGACAGTTGAAGAGTGGTTAAACAGCATCAAAATGATAAGATACCTTGAGAACTTCCAGCAGGCAGAAATTACTTCGATGGAGTCTGTAGCAAGACTTACTCTTGCTGATATTACTTCTCTTGGTGTAACACTTGTAGGCCATCAAAAAAAGATGATTGGTAGCATCCAGACTCTTAGGGTTCAACTTAGTGCCAACTCATCTGAAGGACTTCTTGTTTAGAGAAGTAAATGTTGCAAGTACTTGACCTGTCACTTGAGTTTATTTCTATCTTTGAGAAAAAGCCTTGTGGACTTACTGTTCCACTTGCTGCCATTGTTTTTGATGTGGCAAAACTGAGTTAGTGCTTGCTCCCACTCAAAGACTAAAGCAACTGTGATGAACTTAAGGGGAAAAAAAATGATTCCATCTGTGTAGCTAAAACATATGCAAAGAAAACTTGATTTATTGAATCTGTATTAAAAAAACAAAAACGAAGAACATGAGTGATGTAAGAAAAAGTTCTCTTTAGTACAGCAGGAAAAGGTTGTTCTCAAAGAATTATCTAACTATGGATTCCACCAAATTCATTATGAATGCTATCTTGTAGTGCTACAAATCTGGATCTCACCTACAGCTTACACCAGAATTTTAAACAAATCAGCTCAACTTTTCTTGACGAAAAAGGTCTAAACTTGAAAGACATACAAGGCTAGACATATCAGACTGTATTATAAAAACGTAAGTAACCATATCAGTTAATGAAGGTTGTCAAGTACTTATACCCCACTATTGCTTTGTTTTAATAAAAAATAGAGGTCAGCACCAAACCAGAAAATTTCTTTGTAGTATGCGAGATGGAAAAGCAGTTTTTTTTTTAAATTAACAAGCTTAAAAAAAAAAAGAAGTCATCTAGATGTTGCAGAGAAAAACATAAGAGCAGTAGTACCAAGTAATTCAGAGAGCACCTCTCTCGTTCCAGATGTTTTATGTAATGTGTCAACATATAGACTGCTTTTATTAGTTGGTTGTAAAATCGTATATGGTGCTTATTAATATTTATAATGTGTATTGCCAGTTTTAATTTTATCATTTACCTATTTTTACTGGAGTGCACAAATATTTCTTTTTGCATTTCCTGTTAAGATTTTTTACTTGCCAGTAGAATAATGGCAGTGCTAATCTATCAAAGTAAGATGGTTACACAGGTTTAAAATGTATGAGAGAAGAAAGAAAAATGTAAGTCAAAGTTTGAACATTTACTAGTGGTTTTTACTCATGTCGAACATTTACACATAGTAATATTACTTAGTTTAACTTAATGTGATATGGTATAATGTTGTGGGCCTACAAGACCCTTAATTTTTAAAGTTGTAAGGTCACAACTTTTTTTTCTAAGATAGTTACTGGAAGTGAAGATACAGTTTGTTACTTTTGTTAATTAAGGTTGCAAGACAACGAAATTGGAAAATGAAGTGAATGATACACAGGATTTTCATGTTAATGATGGTTAATTTATTGCTTGTTTTTCTTGACTGATAGTGTTTGAAAGTTGGTACGCTAAGAGTGAAGACTTTGTAAAATAAATTGTAAAAAATTCTTGTAAAATAAGTTTACCACCATAAAACACATACTTAAACACAATTTTGAAGCATATAAAATTTCTTGTGGTATATACATAAATATATATATATATATGTTACATAAACACATCTTTTGTGGCATTATTAATATATGAAACATGGGTTATAAAGTTACTTGGCATATATTAGGGTTACGTGGCTCTGTAACCTAAGTACTAGCTTCTGTGTGTGTGGTATGTAGTGGGGCTAGTCAATGCTTCTTTTTTAACTCTGTATGGTCATTACTGTAAAAAATTAATTTTGAAACAAAAGGTTAGTCATAACTTTTTAGACTAATAAAAAATAGGATTTTGATGGCCCTTAACAAATGCTTATAGCTGAAAGTGCACTGTTAAATGTTCTAAGGTACCATTTATGTAAAGATTACAAAATGTTATAGCTGTCTAGTATAGTATTTACATTCCTGTATAGCTGAAGCTTCTGCTTTTTTATAAACCATTTTTTAAATACATTATCATAAATTTTAATTGACCCTTTAACCATACATCATTCTGTTTGACTAATTCATTGGTGTGAATTCTTATTTTGTTGTTCCAAACCATTTCAGGTTTTACAATATTTCTTAACATTGTATAATTTCAGAAAGCAGCATCTCAGATTTATTTTAAAGTTAATGATTTTACTAACTATACTACTAAAAATCAATCCAAATAACAGGCAACTGTTCAACCAAGTCTGCAACTTACAGGTTTGTCAAATGTTTGAACTTGAAACTTTATTTTAAATAACATAATAAAATAGCTAATGTTGAAAGTGTGTTGATGCTGCAGCTAAAAATATACAAGACAAACAGGAATAAAATTCTAATTTAGGTACACTAAAGAGAAATATTTAACTTGGTAAAAGATAACAAAGTTGACTCTTCATTATATTTTATTGTTTATGCTAACCTAATAAATATTTTACTAAGAAACAAAATATAGATTTGCAATAAAGAAACAATGCACTGAGATAGGCTTTCATTTTACAAAGTATACTTTTTTTACAATCATGATAATTCTAGATTATTACTGGGGAAGTTATCATACCTAAAACTCGGTTTTAAAAACACATTTCATGTTACATTCAGTTTATTTATTTACAGGATAAAAAGTTTCAAAATCCATTCTGAGAAGTATTTTTTTTGAAGGAGATATAGGATGTATTAAAACTATTAAGTGGTATTATCACAGGAAAGATAACAGATTTAATCTATCACTTGTTTACACAATATTTTGCTGGGGTTTTATTAACCTATGTATGGTTTTGTAAAATGGGTAGAAGCACAAAAAATATCTACTTTTAACCAGTAACAGAATGTTAAATACTAATAATTTAAAATTACTGTAACAACTAATACCATGATAATTCTTTTGGGAAATTTAAATGTACAATTTTCATCAACAACCTACTTTATAATATTGATGCAAAGCGTAGCATTTGTTTCATTTTAAAAAATATTATCACTTATTTCTTTTGATCTACTAAGCAGAAACTGAAACTTTTTTTTACTGGCTATCAAGATACTGTAACTAGAAAAAATAGTTTAAAAATTACATTTTGTTATTCAATCCAACCATAAAGAATTGTTTTTGTAAAATGTTACTATGAAATGGATATTTCCAGGTATAATACATAGAAAACATTATTAACATAACGTAGTCATAACATAAGTATACAGTATGAACCAAATATAATAGCTTCAAGCTACACACACACACAAGGTTATGGTAGTAATTTTTCTCTGTATTATAATGTGTTCATGTGTGTATAGATGTATGCATACACACTCACTTCAGTATTTATTATATAGATGTTCCAACAGGTAAACAAAACCTACAACACACACAAACAATTACATTTAAGAGTTATGCCAAGTCTGCATGTACATTTTGTCTGCTTGTGTGTGTGTGTGTGTGTGTATATATACACATACACACACACATCTATTCTCTTGCTTCTTGTCAAAGTCTTGTAATAAGTATGGTGGTATAAGTTTTGTTAAGATGACTCATGAAAGCTGGTTTCTGTTATTCAAACACCCTTGAATATCTAATAAAAACGAATTTGTAAAAAATATCCTGTATTTTGTATTATTCAAATAACATATATAACACACAAGTTTGAAGCCAAGAAAACACACTATTGTAAAATGTTATATGTTCCAAAAGTTGTTCGTAGTACATACATGCTAGATATTAACATTTTATGTGCAATGAGTTTCAAAACTACTTAATGTCCTTGTACCTAAACAAAATCCAAGTTTCCAACACAAAATTCAGCTTAATGGTGAGATTAGAATAAAACGTGCTTTTTTTTTTATGGTATCAGCCAGTAACCTACATTATGATTTAAACCACAAGAGTAGGAAACTGAAGGACTGAGTTTATGATATCCCATATTTACCTCCACCACTGAAGGTAATGGAGATTATGTTTTCACCTGTGTGTGTGTTTGTCAGCAAGATTTCTTAAAAAATGTTCTATTTTATACTCAGCAAACCTCATAAAATGTCAGTAATTGCTACTGCACATGAGTAAGCTAGAAGAAAGTTTCTCTCTCACCAGAAAAAGAATATTAACACAGTAAACATGTAGCTGATTGTAATTTGACTTGTACCTAAAAGGACAATAACGTACAAGTTGGTCATCATGATGCAAGACAGTTTTCAATCACAAATAAAGCACTAGATCTGTCAAGATTTTTTTTTATGTATTATACAATATTTATTTCCATTATGCTAAAACAAATGTTAACATATTTTACACCAAACTTATGAAAAGTTATTTTTTACTAAGCTTTGGTTTTTTCTTTAGGTGTGGTCTGATCCCTTTTATCCTCTCTTGGTCTGGCTTTTTGGTTCTCCATGCAAACTTTTTCCTGTGGACTGTTTTAGAACTTGGTGTTACTTTACTTGTACTTTTAGTATATTTTGAGGTTGAAACCTGTGGACTATCTTCACTATCTTTTTCTTTCTCATTAGGCTTGTCCAATAATTTTGCTTCTTTTTCTTTAGACATGCTTGTGTTCTCATTTTCCTGTTTGCCAAGTTTATCTAAGGTGTAATAAACATTATGAATATTTTGTAGTCAAATAATACAAACAGCATTAATTATATTTAAGAAAATCCTGAAATGCTCTAGTTAAAACTCAAACATCCAACTGACAGATTAAGTTGAAATTCTAGACAATCTGGTTAAATACATTTAAGATTTGGCAAAGTACAGCTAGCTATATTTATATTTCATAACTTTCAAGTTGTTGAGGAATTATTTTCTTGAATGGTGGTGTATATCAAACATAAAGCCCATGGGGTCTTCAACCTAATTATTTAGTAAAAAAACAGGTGAGCACATAAGATTCACTGTCCAATTTTTAATGCTTTATATTCATTTACAGTGTGATACTTAAGTAATACCAAAATATAACATCATTAGTGAAACCTTTAAATATATATATAAAACTATTACTTTAATGAACGTGTTCATTTCCTTATACACATAACTTTCTTATAAAAAAGTAATTACCTTGATTAGGAATAAGGTTTGAAAATTTCTTCAACTTGGCAACAAAGAATCCATCCATATTTTGTGTGTGAGGATAAAATCTTCGAGTGTGTTTCAAAGATGGATGAAATCTATATTCTCTGTACCTAAAGCAGAAGTAAAGTAAATATTGTCAAAATAAAAATGTAAGGCCATTAAATATATGTTTATGTAGAACTTGATTTTTCAATAGTTCACAGAAAATTTCAAAAAATAATTTTCAAGGTCTGAAATAACATTACAGTATCAACAGAGTAATCCTTTGTAGCTCAAGTCCTAACATTTCTACAACAGTAGTTAACCTTGATCCTCAGGAGTCTCATTCTATGCTTAACAAAAATGTTTTTGTAAGATAATAAATAATGAATATAAGTATATATATTGCAATTAAGACAAAAAAAAAATTGCAATAACTGAGAAAGGTGTGAATCAGAACACTAGGGCAGATTATGTGACATTCAACATAATAAATACATCACATACAAAACTTACTTCGCTAAGCCTTCCTTTCCAAAATCCAGTCCTGTTGGTACAACTTTCACATTTCGTTTTTTTAAAGCAAAATCTATCACCCATTCATTTTCTTCTGGCTGGAATAAAATTATGGCAGTTGTTAAATGAACTACACAAACTATTCACAATTTCTCGAATATGATTTTATGATTGGATATAGCAGCAAAAACATCTTTATACATAGTGCATGCTTTGTTTCATAACATATTGATACTTTCAAATATCAACTCCACTGAGAAAATGACGATTAATGATCACATTGAAAAAGAAATCCAATATATTTCTAGATTTTGTTCAGATGCTTGCGAAACACTTGGGAACAAAAAATAAAATAAACTTTTTATTTTTCACTCTTATCACAGTTAGCATTTCCCACAGCTTACCAGTATAGAACATGTAGAATAAACAAGATATCCTCCAGACTTGGAGTGTGCATCAAGACAGTCTATTGCAGCCAGAATTAACTCCTTTTGAAGGTGAGAACATCTTTGAATATCTTTTGCATCCTGAAATAATGTTTAAAAAAAAAGAAATAAAATAAGTACCAGTAAAACACCGTCAACAAATCAAACAAGAGAGAAACACCTGTTATTAAAAAACAAAAGAAATAAAACAGGTGTACATTGTTTATTAACATACTGTCAATGATAATGTTTCACACTTTTTGGGATCAGTAATGATTATCAGATAGATATCCACTGTTTTGATCATCTAACTACTTATGGAAACATCCCACAAAACAAGGTCATATTTGTATTTTACCCAAAGGAAATATCAGCACATTATTGTACAATGTTTTGAAGGAGTTCAAATAATGTTCTTTTATGAAAGTCTTTTGATATCAAAATATGTAAAACTCAAAAGAAAAAATTATAATTGTTAATTATTATTATACACCAAAGATATGAACATTAACACCTAAGTTAAATACTAAGACTTTTAATCACATTAATGTTCTTACTTTATGGATTCTATGTCAAGGTTCTTAACTGCACAATGAACAATATGACTGGTAACCAAGCAACAATGTAAATAAATTCCACCACAAGGAAGATTATTAAAGATGCTATTCCATTGAAGCTGTAAAGCAGCATATGTTATAAACCATAACAAGGTTTTAATAAATTAATGTGATAATTATATACCCGTTTTCTATAAAAGCATAAGGAAACTTGTATGGTACAGGTGTTTTCAGGCTAATATAAGTTTAATAAACATAAAATTTGTGGAGTTATAAGATATTGTAACACTGAATAACCACAAATTGATCTTCTAGGTTTAAAGTATCACAATACATTTTTGTTATTTTTAAAGTCTAAATACTGTATTGTGTTGCAAACTGCAGGGGGTGGGGGCTAATTAGAGACTAATTGGGTCATATAGTAATACCTCTATTATAAACAAATATACCTATAACACATGGTAGCAAACATAGCCTATTTATTTCTAGTTTTGCTATAAACATCAGTGCCCACTATTGTAGTAAATATGATAATCATTGTTTATAAGAATCAAAAACTCTTGTGAAGCAGTCCTGCCAACTACTGGGTAACCTCCTTTGATCGAAACTCTTGTGAAGCGGTCTTGCCAACTACTTGGTAACCTCCTTTGATCGAAACTATTGTGAAGCAGTCCTGCCAACTACTTGGTAACCTCCTTTGATCGAAACTCTTGTGAAGCGGTCCTGTCAACTACCGGGTAACCTCCTTTATCGAAACTCTTGTGAAGCGGTCCTGTCAACTACCGGGTAACCTCCTTTGATCAGCACCGCCAAAGTGTCTAGTTTGCTGCTACGGCGGGAAAATCGTGGCATACGTGACACTTATGAATTATCAGTACTGACTGCTTATCTCTGTGATTGGGGGGATGATTAAGAGCAATAAGGTAATCTACTTTTAGCTTAATGTTTCTGTAATTAAGTAGCTTGTTTCAGAAACTAAAATTTCTTTCATAAGTTCCCATTGGAGCAATAGGTTAGGAATCTCCATCCTCATTTTGTGGAATTCAAAACTTGACTCACAGCCTTAATAATAATTTTGCCATCACTTCATTCAGCCCCCTGGTGGCATGTCTGCAGGTTTATACCACTAGAAACCGTGTTTCGATACCCGTGGTGGGCAGAGCACAGATAACCCTTTGTGTAACTTTGTGCTTAATAACAAACAACAACACTTCATTCATCAATTAGAATTTAGTAAAATGACCATTCTAAGGTCAGATCACAACAATGCAGTATTTTCATCAATTAGCAAAAATCACAGAAGTATAAAAGTTCCTTCAGTTAACGTTTATTGTCATGTGTCTTGTTTTTATCTGCTGAAGTAATACTCATGTTTGCAGAATAGTTAAGCAAAGACACAAAGGCTATATACTCATAGCCACCCCAAGTTTCAAACCAATATGACTATAAAGGAAGGCAGGTGCTCATTAGTGCCCATCTCCAAATATTGGACTTCTCTCATCACACCACACAGTAGAATATGAACATCACTCTCATAGCACACCCATGGCCCCAAAGTATGGAACCCTCAAATTTGGACTCTAGGCCTGCTAACCATTAGACTATGCCAAACTCTCTAATATAATAAGTAAATACATCTTTATTCAGTTACATATGATGATAAATCAAATTCTTGAGATAAAACAACCTTAGAAAAAGTTAGATTTCCATCCAGCCAAAATATGTGGGGATTTTTCAAAGGTAAGTGAAAATTACAGACATTTTTATAAAATGGTGCCAGACTTCAGGATCTTGCCTAACCATCCAGTGTTTGACAGACACACCACTTTTCAACAAAAAAAGTTATTATCTAGAGAATTAGTTCAACACCTTATATCTGTGATATGTTCATATTATTTAAATACATTTTTTCCACATTTGAAGCTTATAATCTCTTGAAAAATACATAGTGGATGTTTTTATAGTGGTTTTGGCTACTAATCTTCAAAAATTACTTAATGAAGAAACATATCATAATTATTTGATAATTAGTTATTTAAAACTTGTATGTATAAGGACATATAAGCTTGGAATAGTTACATTTTAACAGTAAGACTTTCTTGTAGGTTTGAAACAAATAGTAATAGTACATCTACTACATATAAATTTTATCTGTAATGTTAAACCCCATTATTACAAAACAAAAGGAAATCTATGAAACTGGATTTTCTATAATACAAGCACATGTTTTACAATGGTGGCTATTAAGTAGATTTTGGTTACTGTAATAAGTTGGTCATTGATCAAAATGAACAAGTTATTGTTATTAAATAACAGGAAATTCACTGGGAACTGTCAAATATTATATATTAATTATTTTAAAAGTAAAACCTCTATTACAATAACGTAAGTGTTTTTAATTTTAAACAGGTGCATGGTGTTTTACAGAATTAAAAATTTTAAGTTTTTCTGATGACTGACTTTGCTTGTCTTGACTTCGGGATCTTTAGCAACAACTCCTGTTCCACTGCAAGGAGCATCAAGAAGAACCCTATCAAAACCAGTAATGACCTAAATTTAAAAAAAAGTAATTATTAGACAACAAACAGAAACTGCCACAGAAATGATACTGATGAACCTACTGTACGGTTATATAATTGATTCTTTATCATGATTGAAATGGGAAATAAATACTACAAAAAACATCCCAACTGTTAGTCTGATTGTCCAAATTCATAGTTTAAATACAGAGGCAAGGAGATATATATATGTAACATGAGAACTCACGTGAGTGTTAAATTTTTCTTGTCCAAGAATTATTAATGAACAAAATAATTGGCCCTTCAATAATTTGTTGTTTGTTTACTGGTATATTAACACTACACCAAATAGCTAATTTAATAAAATTTGTACACATGAAATGTTCTCAAACTGACAAGTGCATGCTTCTCTTCACAAGACTCAATAAATCCTCTCTTCTTCTTTTCCTGTTTCTTGCTTGCAATATTTTCTGATTTACATTTCTGTTCTAAATTATCTAATTCTTGGTCCTTTTGAAGATATTTAAGCTTCAAATTTGTGAACTATTTGCAACATTACAAAGAACATGAATACTGACTAAAAACGTTGATGTGTAATATATCCCCATCCAAATGCACATTCCTACATTAATTATAATGCATGCTACCTTGTAGAAAACTAAGCCACTACAGGAATTACAAGTCATGGCACCAACATAGAAAAATAACAGTAGATTGCAGCTTAATTTTTTGTGTGTAAATTTTGCTCTATGATTCATTTAATCAACATATTATTAATAAGAACAAAGTTTGGATCAAGGATTTTACACTTTTCCATTAATATATACGTGTGCGCATGTACATATTAGCAGAACACAGATACTCAAAATAAGAAATTTTACCTGTTACATTTCTTACATCATTTCTAAGTAGCACACAATACAAAGAAAAAAGACGCACGCTCAAAAACCTTCTTCTCAAAATACGAGTACTTCAGATAACCAGAATTCAGATTGTTGATACACACAAAGATAAAATATAAACTCTTTGCCAGATTTCTACACAACAAAATAGAGCTCTGATTAATTTTATGAAACATCAAGCACCTAATGTTCATTTTAGTATCTGTAAAACCACTATCATAAAATTTTGTCCAAGACAAACAGGCAAAAGAAACACTTCTTGTGGGCTGATGAAATCCACATTAAAAACATCTGAGAAAAGATGCTTTTCAAATTTCACCTAGCCGAGTCACAGACATGTTTTAAAACGTATGTCAACATACAATCCAATTAAAGTTCTTTGTTCTCATTATATTGCTTTCAATCCTTTTACATAAGAAGAATATGTAGATAAGGCCCAATTTTTGTTGAATAAAGACCACTTAACATGCATCACTACAGTTTTAGCCATAGCAACTAACTAGCATATGACATTTGTATACTGTATTTATTTATACTTCAACATAAGTAATAATAGAAAGCAAACATTTAAACATTACAAATTTTGTTTGTGTTTCAGTATACTTATAAAAAGTGAATGTATTTCAGTCTATTTGTAAGCAGAAAGACTATTCAAACAACATTGCTGGCTTTGGTTATTGTTTGAATTCAGTCCACATGTGGATACTTAAAAACATTACTAATGTTGATTAGTGGCGCTCTACATGTGTACATGTCACAAACAGTGTTTTCATATCTACACGAAAAGATGAAATTCAGATGATCTAAGATTCTATAATAAACAGAGTAATATACCTTGGGAAACTTTCTTCCATCATGACAGCAAACTATGGTGTTGGTGATACCTAAGCGGTGGATGTTTCCAACAGTGGCTTTAGCTCGATCTTGGTGAATATCATTAGCAAACAGAACTCCCGTATTCTTCATAAGAGAAGCTAAAAAGAACATCACGGGTATTTAAAAATGTTCTGGAACAAGAAAACAAAATTCTCTTTAATTAAAAATAAATAAAAAATGGAAGCCAGCCCAGAAAATATAAAATTATGTATATCAAAACTAAATTTGCATATCATCAAGTTTCTCAGGTTGGAGAGATTATGCAAATGAAATTTGACAATTTTTGGATGAAGGAAAGTATTTTTTAATCTTAAAATCAAAATAACTTTGTATGTTGGATAGTTAACGTTTGAAAAGCAAATCTAAATTTAATACTTCATTTAAAAAATTGATATTTTATGTACAAAAGCCTTGCAACATTCACTGATAGTCTGCATAATGTTGTGAAGATATGCTTACATTATTAAAAGTTTTAGTACGACTAATCTCATGCTTACTTAGTAGGTGTAATGCACCTAGCCCCATAGTCAAAAAGTTAACGGACATGTTTAGAAACAGTCTCAACTAATAGTTTTATATTTCCTCTTCATCTGCAAGGTTCATAACTTGAATTTTTATTGTTTTTCCTTGATTTCTATCGTATCTTGGCCCTCACTACACAAGAACAGTCCTAAATTGCTAATATAATTGTAAAATTTCTTAGTTTCCATTTGTCAAAGACTTAATCCACTTGAAATTTGGCCATCTTCATGCACCTTTATCTTCTGACACATGTAAGATGTATTAGAATCACATGTTTGTAATCAAGTGAAATTAAGCAGTTTAAAAAACATGTCCTTCCATTGTTTACCTTAATCTCTTTGTCTTATCTTTTATGACTAGTTATTCCTACTTGCACAAATGGAGTACAAAGTGTGCGTATTGACCTTTTACAGAATGGCATTCAACATGGTATCATGTATTTGATGTCGGAGTTATCAACTATTCATTTTATCCTACATTGCTGATTTAGCAACAATTAATGGTATAGCAGAGTAAGTACCAGATACAATATACATTTCCTAGGTTTTTGAAGTTTTACAAATGCAATATGCAAACTGTGAAAAAATGTTGTTTTCAAGGAGCAACTCATTTCTATTTGAAAAAAACAAATAAATACCAGTCCTGACTATTCCAAATAGTGACTTAGTTTCATCATAAAGAGCTACACCAATGACTAATATCTCATCTTCATCATACAGATACCTCCCCTTGTTAATACATGCAAACATTGGCTTGGCTTCATCATACAGTTACCTCCCCTTGTAAATACATGTAAACATTGGCTTGGCTTCATCATAGACAGTTACCTCCCCTTGTAAATACATGCAAACATTGGCTTGGCTTCATCATAGACAGTTATCTCCCCTTGTTAATACATGCAAACATTGGCTTGGCTTCATCATAGACAGTTACCTCCCCTTGTTAATACATGCAAACATTGGCTTGGCTTCATCATACAGTTACCTCCCCTTGTTAATACATGCAAACATTGGCTTGGCTTCATCATACAGTTACCTCCCT